TGAATGCTTAGAATCCGTATCTAAATAATTTGCTGGTGAGAAAGTTTTATCAGAAGGCAAAGAAATAGGGGAGGTTCCTTTCTTTGGCCCAGTGTCATGGATAATGCAGGGACAGAGAGAGCTGTATGATTTTTACATTGTCTCATGGAAAAAGAACTAGCTCAGGAATGTGACAAGATTGTGAAATACCCAGATACCATGCAGTTTAATCTTTATTAATTTCCTTCCTCAAACTTTCAGTGAAGGGGAAGATCAAACAAGACCTCCTACAGCAGGAATAAGATAACACCAAGAACCTCAGGGTCTGACCTAGCCTTGACTTTATGTAATGTCAGTGGCTCGCTATGTGGAGGAAGTTTATGTTTCCTACCTTGTTTTTTTGTGGTTTTTTTTAACTCCCCAGCCCTGTGAGCCCTTAGACTGGCTATATTTCAATTTGGATAAAAGAGGCTACTATGGTAACCCTCTTTGTGTTGCTAGGGCAACCATTTAATAACAATTAGTTCCTTTAAAAGTAATTCACCTTTAATAAAGCATTAAAGATTACACCCAACCCTTCCAAAAGGTGTGAAGGGAAGGAGTTGCACTACCATTCATAACAATTAATAAAACAACCTTTGTTCCTTTTGTTTGTTTGGGTTTTTTCAGACAAGGGAGCACAATTGCTCCTCTTGTCACACATATTTATGCATCTTGTATCCCATGTACAGTCTGCACAATATTTTTCTGCTTGGAAAAGATACACTCAACTTTGTAAAATGTTAACAGGGCTGCATCAATTCAGATCTCTCAAATTAGTGTGTCTTCATGTCCTCATGACACTGTGCTCTCCCACCCTTTGGTATGGGGGTCTTCAGGCTCATGACTTAACTGGGCTCTTGAAGCAACTTTCAAAGTCAGAAACATTTTAATTCAGGTCTCTAAGCTGCAGAGCTGAGATGTGATCTTCCCAGCATGGGAAATGGCACTCTGTGTATACTCAGTTAAATAACAATTTAACAGTTGTGAAATTTGAGCCTGAATCCATACTGGATCCCTAGTGTATCCACCAGGAATACAGCTTTCATGGAGAATATTCTCTAATCACCTCATCAGGGGTTGGAAGTGAAGGGTGAGAAAACCTTCCCGCTCATGACATTTTACTTTGGGTCACCTTGGTTTAGTGGCTAATATTCAACAATGCACTTATAACCCTGAACTTTCTCCTTCATGTTCTGGAGCATCTCTATTTCCCTTTAAAAATCTCACCTGAGCTGCCCTGGACAGCCTCTCCTGATCAGCAGAGTGCGTCACCACAAAGCTGAAAAAAGATTTTCACTGCCCTTCCCGTAGTGCCCAGAAGATTTTGTGTGCAAAGTGGTTAACATTTCCTGCTTCCAGGACTGAAGCTCAATCCCCACTCTGGGGCTTTGGTACTTGCAGGGACTCAGTGATCTCACAGTGGTCTGACATTTCATTTCAGCTAATCCTAAATCCTAGGGAGAATTTCAGATTAAAATTTCATCTGCCTTGTGATTTGAGGTTCTGTTTGTTGTGACCTCAAATGAAACTCTGGGTTGCATGGGAGTGCTTAGAAGCAACATTTCTCCCTCCTCTCCCTTCCTCATCCACACGCAGGCTGCAGCCAAAGAGATGAAAGCCTGTTTATCTGTCACTCCTTCCTGCAGCCACCTGAGGAGGGAGATGATGAGAAATGGGAAACCCTCTGAAGCTGCTGTCCCTGTGGCTCAGATTAGCTGGGGGAGTGCAGAGAAAAGAAATTACAACATTGTGAAGGAAATGGGACAGAAAGGAGAAGCACAGCTGAGTCACAATTCTGATGTGTTCAAACACTCTGCTGAGCCCTTCCCACCAAAGAGGTAAAAAGACTCCCGAAAGCTGAAATGGATAAAATAACACATAACTCTGGCCTTGTTGCAACACGAGGCTGACACAATTAGCCTTACAGTGTAATTTTCCATGCCTGTAGCTATTACTGAAGACATCCTTTTGAAATGTAACCAAAAAGAAAAGTGAAAGTGCAATAATTTTCTAATCACCATCAATTTCTCTAGCCTTTCATCTCTCATAAAATATTGGGTAACATCTGGCAAAGAACCCTTTTTTCCTTCCCCTCTGGCATGTCTTTTTAAGTGGCACTGATGAATCTATCTGGCTGATAGCTGTAAAAGGAAAGCAGATGGCACACTTATCACCCAGAAACCAATCCCACAAACTTGTCCTTTACAAGCATCTCTGGTGAGGAAGGGACTTGCTAATGATAGCAATTAGCATCATGGAAATACCAAAAAGGCCAGAACTTTGCAGAAAGCACTTCTGATAAACTCTGGGATTGATGCTTCTGATGCCAACCAGGCAATTAAAACCCATTAATGTCTAATGTTAATTCATCACAACTTATCAGGCCCTATGGGACTTTGCTGCAACAATAGCTTGCTATTAAATGCTAAACCAAGGAGAAAAAAAAAAGTAGCATTTGATTTTTGTAGCAGTACTGGAGTCTCAGATTTTTGTTTATTACTCTTATTCTATAGGGACATTCAGCATCAAGCTGTCCTGTGTGTATTGTGGTTTGGTGAAAGTCACTCTTTCTCCTTTGAAGTAACTTTTCTCCACCAAAGGAGGGGAGGAGCGGTTCACAACAATTTGTCAGGATGAATATTATGTAGGGAAACTGATTTCAATATCTCTTTGGCCTGTAATTTTGTTCTGTAATTGGACTCCTTCTTGAGAAGGATGCAATGATAGGAAGAGAGGTGCCTGCTTAAGAGCAAGACAGGGTTTCCAGGGAACAGCAGTTTGCAGAAGGCTAATTTGAGAGCCTTTGCTTCACCGTACGTAAACAGAGCACTTTTCCTCAATTTGATGCATAAAGGTTACTGATACTAAAAATTAATTTAGAGGATGCAACTGCATGACAAGACTTAATTATTAACCCAATTTTGGCTTCGTACAACTCACAAAGATAGTTTTTCTCACAACAATGATAAACTGAATTTACTTTTTTTAAATTGAGGAACTCTATCAGTTCCCTTGCAAAGCATCTCTCTTTTTTTAGTGTGTCTCTCAGCCTAAATGACTTTTCCCCTTGTAGGTAGTGTGAAAAGAAACAAAACTAGGTCTTGTTTTGACAAATGGCCCTAGGTTTTGCTCTAGTGTTTCTCAGAAGGATAAATCTAGAAAACAAAAATTATAAAGACTGTCTCAAATTCTTGGCAGTTTGAAAGGGGCAGAGCCTTCACAAGCTTCAAGGAGAGTGCCAGTTTATTGCTGAGAACTCATCTTCTATTTAAAAGTGAATGAAAGGTTATATCTATGCAGGTTTATTGCACAGATAAAACATAAATTCCACAACATTTGCTAGAAAAAAAAATTTCCAGTAAAATCCAAACAAATCAGGGAAATCTGTTGTGAATTCAACTGTGTTTGGTCTCCAAATGTTCATGTTTGAATTTTAATCTGCATGTTAACTTTAGAAGCTTCACAGACTCATTTTAACCTGAAGATGTGGTGGGGTTGTTTTTTTGTTGTTGTTTTTTTTTTCGTGAAGGTGGATATTCTATAGTTTCATGTTTCCTCACTTTTAAAAGTGAGCTTAAGAGAAAATGAATACCCAGACACAAAGTAAAGAGCAGATAAATGTACACATACACATCTTTCCCATTTCTCTTGGTTGGTTCAGGTCTTGGTGCAGACCAGCAGTGTGTGGTGGGATTAAAGCAGAGTCTCATCTGCCCTCCTGGCAGATCAGCACCCCAGTGGCCCTGGGGTGAGTGAGTGCCTGCACACAGGAACTGCAGCGGAATTTCTGTCTGATCCCTCTGGCCAGAAAGGTGGTACATGAGTGAGACAACATGTCACACTGTCAGATTTGTTCAGAGGATCAATAGAAGACCTCTGTTCACAAGGCAGTAAATCTGTTACCTTTTGTAAGCAGTAAATTCCCTTAGCAAAGTGTGAAGAACAAGAATACAATGGAAATTCATTTGCTTTGATCACAGTCAGATCTTGGCATTTAGTTTCTGTTTTGAGGATAATAATTCTGAATGGTTTGATGTTTTCCCGCTCCTGACCTATAATATTAAATAGGCACTGTAAGTATAAGAACAGAAATCATTCTAACTTGAAAAATGTGAAACTCCAGGCATGTGCCTGGACATCTTCTTAAGGCATGTTTGATGCACCTTTGTTCTTGTTCATTGTCTGGTTGGATGATCTCCTTATGATGAAGAACCATAACTCTGGTCTCCCTTTTCTTAGTAAGAGGAATCTGACCTTGGAGGCTTAGCAGTGCAGACTGTGGGAATCTCAACTAACACAAGCATGAACAGTAAAGCTCACAGAACCTTACAGCATCTTGTTCACAGCATGTATTGATGTTGTGTTTCAAAGTCATGAAGGAAATACTTTGTCTTTCACGTACTGCTCGGCTGATTAGCCCATTGTTTTTCATCACATGCTGTCAGACTATGATTTTGAATAGATTTATTCACATATATAAAATAAAAAATACATGCAAAAAATCCCAGACAGTGTTTGTCCCGGCTGTCTGCTGCAGTCTCAGCTCATCTTTCTGCTTTGATTTCAAGAACATCTGGCAGAAACTGATTGTCAGCAGCTTGTGAAGTAAATAGCACCAAAAACATTGGAAAGGATCACAAGATAATATAGATGAAAATGGCTGATTGAACAACTACAGTAAAAACGGATGGGGAAAAGAACTGTGAAACCATTGAACTATAAAAAGGAAGAAAACACATATTAGGTTTGCAGGTGTTCCAAGTCCAAGATGAATAAGTTTTGCAGTTTCTTTTTCCATCTCTGTGTACTGTGCTGGCAAACGAGAGAGAACAGATATTAAAACAACCTGGTTTCCAGATTTGTTGAGCTACCTTATTTCAAGATCAAGTCCTGAAGTCAGAACTGAATGAGACCAGGTGAGGAAAACACTGGATACTGTCTGAAAACATTTTGTCTTGTCTCCTGTAGCTCCAGGAAGAGATATATGGAATTATAACTCCAAGACTACTTAGCTTCTGTTTTCTGGTAAATTTTCTCTGTTTAACTGGGAAAAAACAAAACAAAACACTGAGTGAAAGAGGTAACAAAAAGAGATCAATGAGTAAAGGAAAATTTCCAGGCATAAGGAAATAAAAAGCTGGTAACAGAGCAATAGAATAAATTAAAAGGCCATTTCATAAACATGGAAATAAATGTTTTTTATCTTGTGAAGGAGTAACACTGCACATAATGAATTCCAATGAGAATGAAAACACTTTAGAATGGGTGAGAACTAATTTTCTAAGTGACTTGTCCCCAGTGTTCTTTTTTATTCAGTTTGTTCTTACAGTAGAGGTTCTGCTGCTGCATTAAAGTACAGATCAGCTGTAGTCAAACAGCAGTGTTTTGTAAGGGAGTGCATTCACCTCCTTTTATTTTTGCCTGCTTTTTGTTCTTCTGTAGTGAAAATTTGTTTTCCTACTTTATGTATTTTCTGGTTCACTTACTGCATTGCTAAAATATTGTTACTAGATTGTTCATTTATTTAGCCCCCAGTCTTCCCATCCTCTGTTATTTCATGTAAAAATCAGTGGCCAAATCCTATTATTCCCATTATTCTGCATGTTCAATTTCCTGTTTGCACTACCATTTCCATGATACAAGCTGTTATTGCTAAATGAAAACAACAAGACATCTTTATCACTGTTGAACTAATAACAACAACAGTGTTTAGCAATTTTTACTGTTTGCCACACCAGATGGGAACAATTAAAATTTAAAATTTAGCAATTTTTACTGCTTGCTACACCTTGACCCCTATAACTTTAAAAAAATAATAAAAAAATTAAAAATATAAACATTTTCACTCACTGCCACAAGTAATGGACATCACTGTGGATTTCCCACAGAAAGAGCTTCCAAGTATGGGACTTGTACAAATAGCATCACAGCACTCAGCAATATGGACTGTCTCATGTCAAGATGTTATTTCACCTGACTCTGGGATGCTTTTCAGGTATGTGGAGGGCACTTTTACAGAAAATCCAGTTGCACTTTGGAGACTGTTTTAAGCCATTGGCATTGAATCCATAATCTGTACAATTTTTGACGTGGCAAAAAAGTACTAATACAGATTGATCCCTTGGTAGGGAGAAAGAGATTTCTCTGAAGTGAATCCCAACCTAATTCTCAAGGGAGAAAAATGTATGGGTTTTAAAACAGAGATGAAAAAACAACAATCTAACAAACAAATTGAACATTACTAAATGACTGCAGAAAAATTAAATGAAGTACTGGCAACAGTATAATGTGGTTTCACAGTCTAATAACAATTGTAATGTTTAAATTAATCTTCATAGTTTACTGGTTCCTGCAAGAACAGTGCAAGTATATTTCTTAGGACTCAGACGAAGTCTTTGGTGGGGGACTTCATAAATACTTGAATTTTCCTGATTTTTTTCAACATGTATATAACATGGACTTAGAGAAATCAGTGAATTTAGAGCTGTATACACTACCTATTCCTATACTTATATTCCTATACCTGGTTGTTATTCATTTAATTACCTTTAATCTAAATGAGAGGCTGATGGAGCAAAGTGGCCTGGTAGTCACCCTCAAATAGTTTTTCAAAAGTGCCTTCTCCTGGTTTGCCTTTTGCTCATCATAAGTCATATTATCTTCTGATGAAGAGAGAATGTTTTTGACTTTCTAAGAAAAAAAGTGGTGAAAGAATTAATAAGATTCCAGCAAAGCCTTTTTAAGTCTGAAAGCTTTGTGTAAAGTATTCTTTTGAGTCTGAGGATAAGATTCATTTCAACCTCCAGCTCAAAAGGTTCATATTAGAGTAATAACAGCCACAAAAATAATTTCCTTCCCCAACTCTCTGCTGAGGACATCTTGTTTTTGTCTACTGGAAACATACATAACAATTATTCCTGTATATTTTTAATTACTAACTTTGCTAATATAACTGCAATATGATATCTGCTGTCTTTCATAACACCCTCTGAAGCACTCTGTGCTCCTGGGTCTTCCTCCCTATGTAAAGGCATTGCAGTGTGTCAGTAATTTCAGTCATTAAGATCTCAAAAGTTGAAAAGCAAAGCTGAAGTGTGGCTGGACTCCATCTTTTCCCCCCTTAGCTTTATCTTCTGGTATCACTAAAAGGTTCCTGTATAAAAAAAAGTCTTGATCTGAACTTGAAGAGTACCTGGGGTTTTGATTCATTCAGACATCTCTGGCAATGACAGCACCACAGCCAGGGATCTTCAGACAATTTCAGAAGGAAAAAAGTATTGCTTGCTGTTCTTTTAGCATGTCAAGTGGGAGGAAAAAGCCCCCAAATGTCAGCAATTATTTTAATAAGCTTTATACTCCTGGTAAAAAAGGTGAGGAACCATCAGCAGAGGATGAGGCCAAGCTGACACATAGCTCAACATCACTATTTACCCCAGGGCTCCCTTAATTTTCTCTGACTGCTTACTTGATGTGGCCAGGAGAAAAAAACCCAAAAAACAAACAACTGCAAAATCACATGTAAAGCATTGAAAATATCCTAGCAAAAGCCAGTGTTTCCCATGTTTCCCACACTCACCCAGACTTGTTGCACCTGATCTTTCTAAGCCAGGTTTGATATCAATGGGACTCTGCAATTTTGAGGGTTTAAAGCTGCTGCCCAATAGATTGCTTCTAGAACAGCTTCATAAGTAAATAATTTTATGGTCACGGCACACAGCTGGTAGTGTATCATCAGCTGCACCTACAGCCAACTGTTCACAGCTTACTAACAATATACCAAATACATCTTGATGATATTGGCTGTATTAAAGCCATCTACCTGGACAACCATAGCCTAATATGACAGGTCTTTGGAAAAAAAAAATCAGGGTTCATGCTAGATAAAGGGTGCATGCAAGTATTGAGGATTATTCTAGCAAAAATCATTGCCAAACAAGCAACTAGTTCCAGTGCTGAAAAGGTCACTGGCAAATGAAATGTTCTTTAAAAGATTATGCAATTCCTCATATGGGTTTTAATACCAATTTACTGAGCACTGCCTGCAGGTTCACAGAGCTTTAGATCAGATTTTCAACTTAGTAATGGATAGAGATCTATGTCACTTCTGCAGCCAGAAACTGCTTCAAGTAGAAAGGGGGAAAGCAACATGAAATGAATTCTGTGGGCATTTATCTCCACAGAACCAGTGCTTTCAGCACAGCATTACACTGGGATTGTCCTCAACATACAACAAAATCAATACAGCCCTGACCTTTCCCATGCCTCGGATGGTTTGTGGTGTTCTGAGGGATAAAGAGAAATAAACAGATGCCCTCAAAAGATGGTAAATGGCTGCCCTCTGTCTCTTCTGAAGGTATAAAAGAACTTTACCATTAACATTTCATCTCCTATCACTTGGTAAAGGGTAGAAAAGCAAAGCTAGCACATCTTACTTAATTAAGAGTCCAGTCTACCAGCCAAATAGCTTGCTCAATCCAGAAGTTCAGAATTCAACCTTTGGGTTAAGTTGCATGTAATACATAGAAGACTATACTGTATCTCAAATTAGAAGAGCTGGTTGCATTTTAAAACAATTTTTATGTTAAAAAGGAAAAAAAAAAGAGTTCTTAGGTTTTAATTAAAAGTTTGTAAAAGGTCATTTACAGAACATCTTGCAGACACTGTAAATGAAACTTTAGAATTTAAATGAGTAGCTTTTATTTTCTGTTGTAAATGAAAATATCCTCATTGGTTATAAACTTTCTTTTTCAGGGTATGGTTTGAGCCTCAAGCTCTTTACCTATGCAGGTCAATCATATATTAGATTCTTGGAAATATCTTTATTTCATTATAAAGTAAATTAATGCTGGGCCTCTAAACCCCATCCTGTTTACTGTCCTTCTCTTAAATCATTTTATTATTGATTAAACTGATTCTCCTGTGCACTAAACATCAGTTTTGCACATATAAACCATAGATTTCATTCCCTACTGTGTTTTTTCCATTCACACTCAGCTGCCTTTTCCCTAGTTAATGTAATGGATTTGCATACTCTAGTCTCAAATTTCCTAGGAGGTCTGGTGGTTTTTTGCTACTTTCTGTTGGTTCCATATTCCAAGATGTTTGAATTCACTTGATTATCATTTTTCTTGTAAGAATAAAAATGTGCCTGTCTCCCTTTCTTTAGAAATGCAAGTTTAGACATCTAGCATTTTGGCAATGTCTCCTTCCATTAATAAATCCCCTCTGACACCTGGCAGAGGCTTTGCACTCTTTCTCCTTGCCCTATTGTTACTGTTGTGCTTCAAAAATATCTAATTAGGTATTTGAGATGTATTAATATCTTTGTTTTGTCCTTCCTCCTAACCTCTTTCTGCAGCTGTTCCCTGGTCAGGGCTCCACTTTCCTTCCCTGGGTTTTGTGCTCTGTGATTTGGGCTGCACAGTCTGGCACAGTGGCTCTGCAGGGGAGTCAGCACAGGCTGAAATGTGAATATTTCTTCAGTGCTGAGCATTTTCCCTGCCTGTGTCTCTTCACAACAGACATTGGAGCCTGCAGCTTTCGTTTTGACTTTGCAGATTGTATCTAAGCACTGACCTGATTTACAAAATTTCTGAATGCCCACTTTTCTACCAGGGACTCCAAAGTCCCTCCTGGCATAGCTGCAAAGCTGGCACTGGGACAAGGGATGGGGATGTCCAGAAACATGAAAATGTTGCTTTTGGTGCCATGCATCCCACCAGCACCTACTGGGTTCCTAATCCTCCCAGGAGCCATGTAACTACAGCCTTCCAAATCCCAGCTGTCCATTCCCAGTCCTTAACCCTGGGCCTGCAGGTGAAACTTGCAGAATGCCAGATAACTCAGGATCCTCACTGCAGTCCATATTCTCTGCTTTCTGCCTGCTGATTGCTGGATCAGCACACACTGGTGTTTCTTTCTCCTTCTACTGATTGTAGTGCTTCTTGTTTGTTTGGTTAAGAGGTAAAAATTAGTGAAAAAAAGCAGTACTGAATCGTCTCACAACGCTGCTAGTGCTGCCTTAAAGGTCCCCTCAGACAAATCGTCTCACAACGCTGCTAGTTATTAATCAATATTGTCTTTTATTTTCAGTGTTTATGTTGGAAGAAACCCAGATTTCTCTTTTGAACAATTTTTACATTTTTTGCACATCACTTGCACTGAAAATATCTTATTACCTACAAAAATAAGTATGCTTTTTTGTAGCCCTTGCAATTTTTGAATACAAATGACTGTGAAACACTCATTAATTTCTTTGCACGATAATTCTGAAGGCTGTGACCTATTACTTTATGTGCTTTCATGATAAGATATTAGAGACCAAATTACTTCCTACAGAACTGGCAGAAGGGCCAAACAGAAGCTATTTTGTGAGAACTTTTATGAGTGTTTATACAACCACTTGCACATCAAACCCTACGTGTTTGGGTTGTTTTAACTTCAAGAAGAATGCAACATTAAAATTATTATTTTTTTTTTTGTTTTAAAAATTATTATTTGTTGCATTAGTATAACTCTTGAATGTAGTTAACAGTAATTTAATGCTTTCATAAAATCCTTCCAATTATAACAATAAAATTAAGCCCCAAAACTATCTCTGCCCTTCTTGTGGCATTTTGCTCTCATTGTACTACTCTTGTGTTGTCTGCAAATTACAGAAATCCTGGAGCAAAACTCTGGTATCCCTTTCTCAAGACAAACATGCAAAAGTAGCTTAATACCCTGGAAGATCCTGGGTACAATTTCTGTGCTGTGGTTGGGGTATCTTTCTATTTCTAGAAACTGTAGAAGGACTCTAGAAAAGCAGTTTAAAGAGTGAACATTTAATTGTGCATGGATAAAATCCGGGAGGACAGAACCTTCCAAGGTGACAGTCTGTGAATTGTGGCTGCAGAATAGATTGAGAATGAGATTTTCCCAGTGCTGAAAGACAGCCCCAGAGATCCAGATGCCTCTGGAATCTTAGACAAATCTCCAAAAGAAAAATCTCAAAAATAACTACAAATCTCTCCTACTCTTTGTCTTTAGATACACCCAGAATTCAGTTATTTAGGCATTATGAGCACTGTCTAAGGAATCTTGTAATAAAATATCTATTTGTGAAGTATTTTCAGTTAGACTGAGATCTCTTTACGCTATTTTTACATCTTTTTTCCTCTCACTCCCAGTATTTATGAGCTCTGCACAAATTCCATACTACTCTTCAAGAAAATGATGTGAAATATGTTACAAAGGACTAGAAAGGAGGAAGGGACAGCGGACAGTAATGGAAAGTGACTCTGAAAGAAGTCAGGTACCTATGGGAAATATATGAGAAGAATTTGAAACAACCCTGGACATTTATTGGTTCCAAATACCTGGGCAGTGAAGAAAAGTGGGCAAACTTGGGAAGGTTGTGAAGACCTGCAGCTCACTTCTGAAAACACAGATTGTCACCACATTCCACATAAGACAGGTGAGAGCTTGTTGTTACACACAGGAAAACACATTCCCACCTCAAGGAATTTGAGCACTGCTGTTTTCCTCCCCTGTCTTCTCCCTTTTGAGTCAGTTTTGTACCCACCTCAGTTGCCATTAATATATTGTGAGTCACATTTCATTCCAAATATAGACTCCTGAGCAATGGATGTGAGATCCCAAAATACTAAGATGACAAACACTTGGTAATGCAGCCTAGATTAGATATTTAATCTTAAAATATTTCCTTTCTCTGTGTTATATATGAACTGCAGTAGAACAGGACAGAGTTGTGTTTTCATAATGAATTTTTTTATTCCATTCCCCTGTGCTTTCTCTTAATACTGGCTTCCTGCTGGATTTTTCAATGTTTTTCTAAACATGACTTTTGATCTTTGCAGTAGTTCTGAACTCATGGCTTTCACATCAAACTGAGTCCCTCTCTACTCCTCTAGGCAAAAATGCACTCTGTAATATTTGCCTACTGTCCTGCCACAAAGAGCCTTGGTCATCTCCAAGGTGTCAGTCTGCAGTGACCCCTTGACATTTGATTCTGACAATCACTAGGGCATATTTCTCTTTAAGCAGTTTTTATGAAAAGTCTTCAGCAAGTAGCTCACCTAAGGACTTGGAGAAACCTGCTGACCTGACATCACCTGTCTTTCCCTCCACTCTTTAGAGTTTAGCTTTCTTCAAATTCACTCTTCCTCCTGATTTCCCTTTGATTCTCCTTTCTTTGTCAACATAATTACTTGTTAAGATTGTTTTTCCTCATATAAGCATTTTCTTTCCTACCCCATTTCAGCCTGTGCTGGAATCCAATCCTTTTTCCCCTTGGTCTCCTTTCTGGACTTGGGAGACTTGTGGAATAAATGCCACAAAACATTTACTACACCTTTTCTATCTTTCTTCCCCAGTTAACAGTTCTCCTCACATTTAGTGGATTTTCTCACCCCAGCCATCAATCACCGTGTCACCGTCTTTGAGAATCTCCTCCCTGCAGCCAGCATTTTACTGATTCCACAAATAGTCCTCTCAGCCTCCCAAGAGCAACCTGATCAAAGGGAAGGCTTTTGCATTGCTTTTGTCTTCCTGTTCTAAAACTATTACATTTACCTGTTAAAAGCTTCTTGACTGTCTTTTGTCCATCTCCTTTAATTGTTCCAGTGGCCTCACCTTGCAGCTTGTCTTCCTTGCACTCTTTTTATCTTCCCTTTTCACTGCTTTCACTACCAAGAGGAGCTTCCCGGCACGTTTTACCTCACAAATGCATCTTTGTCTTTCACCTCTGAGACATCCCTCTTCTACATCATTACAGGTTCAATTGATCTATCTCTTGGGTTTGCAATCTAGGTTTAATCTTTAATTTAGAGTGCTTCTTAACACTGACGTGTAAGATCTATTTTTAAACGTGACAGGTTCTTTTTCAGGGGTGGTGGTGGGAGCTTGCAGAGCACTGCAGAGGTTCATTGTCCCTTTAAATCCTTAAGGCTTTGCCATCTCACAATTCAGTTGCTGTGGCATCATGTTGTTCCTGTCAGAGGCACTTTTGTGCTGCCAGTGTGCATGTGGCAGGCTGCTGCTAAGGTCATTTTCCTAGTCCATCACTTTGACTTTCACACTCTGCAATTGCTCTCACCTTCTGGGTTGTATCAAAGAGAGTACTTTTTTTTTTTAATTTTCCAAGCTCTTCGGGTCTTACTGCAGTATCAAGTTGACATTTCCCTCCTGCAGGTGTTTTGTGAGGCCAACTTTCATCACACCCATGTTAAATTCTGAACTTCATGCATTCAGGCTTCCAGTGACACCCTCACCTACCTTTTATTTCTTATAGCCTTCCCTGAAACTCTGTTTATTCCTTTTAAAACCACTGCTTAACAGCCATTCTTCTGTGATGAGGTGTTCACAAAAGTGGGGACTGCTGGGATTTGGGTATATTCTGAGATCAGAAGCCAAGCACGCCCACAAGTTTTGCCTCATTATTTTCCTTTACTCCTCTCATCTGTCTCTGTCCATCTGTTTTGTCATAAAGTTTAACTCAAATCACTCTGAACAGAAAAAAAGATTTATATGTCCACAGCAGCAAACCTACAGCATTTGACACACCAGGATCCTAAACTGTGACTAAAATTCAAAGATGAAGGCTGTAGGATAATTTAAACAAATAAAAGTAGATGTGATTATCAGAATAATTTTACCAATATTTTACTGACGATGCCAGTATTCATGATCTTTATTTTTAAATTATTCATGTAATTTTCACAGTAGTTTAGAAATATTGGTGTTGGGGGTTTTGTCACAACAAACTAATGAACATTAATTTCTGTGCATGAACCCTGGCAGAATTTTGCTGTCAACTGCTCATGAACATTTTCTCTAAAACAGTCTGTAATATTGTGACACAAGAAGTGTTAAAAGGACACATTAACATTCCTGCCAATAATGGCAAGAGGGAGCTAATCCATATGTTGATATTCTGTCAGTCAAAAGCAAACTAAAAAATAAATCAGTATTTAGGCAAAAAATAAAGGGAACATTCCTTATTATTTTATTTTATTTTATTTTATTTTATTTTATTTATAAAATAAAATAAAATAAAATAAAATAAAATAAAATAAAATAAAATATTTATTTTATTTTATTTTATTTTATTTTATTTTATTTTATTTTATTTTTTTATTATTATTATTTTCATTTGCTTGTTTGGCTGTTCTAACCCATGGCTTTCTGTACCTAGTTTGCATAAAAATAAATACCTTAGCTCATGGTAGACATGATGTGGTCTACATGTTAGGAAGGCACATTAAATTTGCTTCTCTTTTTCTGAAAGCTCTTGTTCTTTTTGTATGGTCTAATATTAGGAAGCAGAAAGAACAACAGGTAACTTTTCTCAAAGCCTTTATACACAGGTACTTTTTCAGCTCAAATTTCAGGGGCAGAGGCGTGTTAGGGGCCCTGACTACAATGGAAAATTAGCAGAGTAGAATTTTTAAAACTAAACTGTCCTACTGGTTATATGAAATGTACTGTACTTTTTTAAATTTTAATTTTAATTTGTAATGTCAGGATTTGAAATTCTAGTTTTTCTGGAATTTCTCTTTCTCCCTCTACATGGCTACCATGTTCTCCTAAATTGAGGTACTGAATTTCAAGGGACACAATCATGTCTTTAAAAGATTTGCTGAATTGAGACCACAATTTTATTCATGACGAGTTAAGATAATCTTTTCTCTGTGTGCCCTGGTTAACAAGGTATTTTGATAAAATATTCTCCTCATGTATAACGTCAGAGCCCCTAATGTTTCTAACCTCTGAAACAATTTCTAGAGCAGATAATGAAAGTTGGTGTCTGCATGTCATTTGTGCCTTTGAAAACGTCCCCTGAAGCCCAGTGATACAGTGGAGTGCTGTTTTGATACTGAGTGCTTAGAAGAACAGCCAGTTAATGGTTTGACATTTTCTAATCTGGATGCATGAGATAAGTCATAAAAGAAAACCCAGTGAGCTCACTATAATGGAAAATATCAAATAATTTTGTCTTTTATCCAACCAGGTGTTGTACAAAGTTGGATTTGGCACTGCATTACTTAAGTAACTTTGGAAAGTGCTGTCTGTTTCACCTTAATTTGTATATGTATATATGAGAGCTCTAGTGAATGTCTCTGCTAACACCACTAAACCACAGTGTTTAAACATCTGTACTTCCTAATGGTCAGAAAAACAGGGTACAGCCATTGCCTTGAAAAAATCCTGATGAAATTAGCCTGACCACTTCTGGCTTGCATAATAAAAAAATAATTCTAATTTATAAAAAACCCATATCTATCTTTCTGCATTAATTCTTTGCAGGCTTTCTTGGACCTAAGAGCTCCTAAGGAGAAAGTATGATTTGCTCTTGATGTAAGGAACAAACTGCTGCAATTCCTCTTCCCCATTCAGCCTGTGACTGTATTTGACACTGATGCCAGTATTTCAAATGTGACAAAGGAAGCTGCAATAAATCCTAAACTGAGAAGTTACAGACAGATGTGATTGCATACAAAGTTTCATCTTAGCCTCCTCAGGCACTGGTAGGAGTTCTCCTCGATGACTTTTGAATTGTTAGGCAGAAACAAGAGAAATCCTGACCCCAATTCAGTGGCGAATTTCCTGCTGACCTCAGTGAGGACAGATTTTCTCTCTGGGACTTCCCTCTCAGAAATCACCATACAAATCTGCTCTGTCTACTTCCCTTTGAGAAAGAAGTCAAATCATCTCCTCAGTGATCAGCAGCAGCAGAAGAGATCTCTAAGGTCAATTTTATAGAACAGTTACTAATTTACTTCTTTCTGTTGGACCCCTGATATGAAGGCAAACAAGATCCATGCCACTTATTGGGTGGAAGGCAAGAACTTGTTTATGTTGTGGCTGTTATTTCATGTAGTTTTTGACTGATATAAACAAGAATGCAATGGACAACAGATAGAAAAGTAACAAACAATACAGCCCTCTAATGGTAAAAGTGAATGTTAACATTTCAAAGAATAAATAACAATTGGGTGAGATAAATATATTTATAAATCACAAAAGAAAAAGTACTGCCCATAGTCCTTCCTGTGGTACTATGGAGATCAACTGGACTAAAGTAAAGAAGATGGTAAATCCAAAGAGCAGGTGATGATGAATCCCAAAGCACAGCAAAAGCGTGTATCCCTGACCATGAAAGGCAGCAGAACTGAGGGACAGGAGAAGCAGCAAGGATGCAAAGCTTGTTCTGTGACTGCTTTCCACAGCCACAGAGCTCACAAACTGGCTCTGTGCTTTGGGGTTTCCTTTGCCTGGTTTTGAAAATAGGTCACTCCACTGGGGACAT